ACACACACACACACACACATCGCTCCCCTTCGTGCTGCAGTTCTCATAAGGAAGTGTTCAAAAAATAGACGGGAAAACGTTCCGGTGTATTCGATCCCGCCTCTTGCCAGTCCTCAGCGCCACGCACCGAATGTCAACTGACCAAATCGTGGAGTTGGAGAAGCGCGCCAGCGCTGCGGAGCATGCCATCGCCACGATGAAGCAGCAGTTGAAGGCACAGTCGGCTACTGGAAATGGCGACGCCGCGTTGGAGTCGAGGCTGCGCCAGCTGCTGGTAGTGATGCGGGAGGACCAGCAGGAGTGCGAGGCGATTCGCGCCCAGCGGGACGACCTCAAGGAGGAGAATGAGCGGCTGCGGGCGCAGGTGGCGCGACACGAGTACCGCATCAAGCATCTCCTGCGCACAATTAACGAGCTCGATTCCGAGCAAAAGCAGCAGTAGCGGCAGCAGCAGAAGTCGTGAAATCACACATTTCCACGACGCACAAAGAGAGGTGTATGCTTAACACTACGCTGTTTGAATATATTAACGGCACTTTTTTTTCCTCTCTAATGCCGCAACACCTGACACCAACCCTGTCTGTTTTTTTTTTGTTCTTTCTCTGTTCTGACATGCTCTCTTTTCTTTCTTTCTTTCTTTCTCTCTCTGTTTCCCACACACATTCACAACGCCGTAGGGTGAAAGGAATCACAGAAGGAAGGAGGTTCTGCAGTGGTGGGCGCTAGCGCGTGCCGTGCAGGAAGCAGGAGGCCACAACTGAGCAGTTCGTTCTTTCTGCAGCGCAGCTACTCGTAAGAGGAGGAGGAGGAGAGAGAGAGAAAAGAGGGGGTGAGGAGGAACGAAGGATAAGAAAAAGGGAAGAGGAAAAAGAAAAGGGGCAAAACAAGGAGGAAGAGTAAAGAGAGAGGCCACGAGGAGGAAAAAGGGGGGAAACCGAGACGGTCAAAAAACAAATACAAGACACATAATCGGAAAGCCGAGAGGGAATCAGGAGGAATAGAACGAAGAGGGCAGGGGGGCGGAATAGACAAGTAGAGTGAAAACGAAGGTGAAATCACAGCGGGGAGGATACGTAGACGCAGTAATCAGATATACGTTTACTTCCTGCTTGATTTATCTTACTCAATTGCTTTTCGCAGTATTCCTCCGCCTTTTTTTTTTCGTGTGCGCCTTTTTCTTTTGTCTTTCGGTGTCTTCTGTTGTGTCGCATATCTCGAGACCCGGTGAGCTCGGTGTTTTCCGTTCTCGCATTTCCCCATCAGCGCCGCCCACCAGGCTCACATTCTCCCCGTACAAAAACACCGACGCGCACCTACACTAACGAGAGGTGGGGAGGTGAAAAAAGGGAGTAAGGAGGAGGATAAAAACAGAAGCTTTGTAACGTGAGCGCCTTTGTTTGCCTGCTTGTTCCCGTGGTGGTTGCTCTTACTCTTGGTGTGTGGGTGTGTGCTCGGGTTTTAGGCAGGGCACGCAGTACACCTAATTGCACATCGCCATACGCGTACAGGCTGGTGTGTAGTACGAAGAGAGTAGAGAGCGGTGCATCAGCGTCCACCCAGCCTACACACACAAACAGAAGGCAAGGGTAAAGTGGTGGGAAGACAGTGAAAAATCCTCTTTCTAACAAAGAAGGGAAAGATCTTTTTTTTACTGTTGATTTTAAAAAGAGAATAGAGGTCTATATATCTCTTTATATATTGACTTCTCTGGTGATTTGCTGACTCGCATTTTCGTGTGTACTGCTTTGGACCTATTGGACTCGTTTCGCACTATCGGGGAAACGTGTGTGCATTGAGCGGCGATAAAAGAGTGAAGGCGTGGGTGATTGAGAGTTTCTGTGAAGAGGAAGAGTAAAGAGTGGTCGGAGACACACATATACATTGTAAAAGAAAGAGAAGGAGTGTGACAAGGGAATTCGGTGTGTGGAAACAGAAAAGAATAATATTACAAGCGAGAGAAGTAAGGAAGAATAAGGAACACGAAAGGGAAGGGCTATTGTTCATCTAATTGCCTTCTCGGCTCGCAGAGACTACCTCCACTTGAGTTACTATTGTTGTCACTTCCAGCTCTTCGTGCTGTATCGGGGCAAACACTCGGAGAGGGATAGTCTATCCGTATATACGCACATACGAACTCAGCACATCGACTGCTAGCTTTTGTGGTGTGTGTGTACGTGTGTGAATCAAAGCAGCAGTTCCAAGTGATTGGCAACAAAAACAAGGGGAGAGAGGTGCACGTCCGACTCACTCCGTACGGTGCGAATCCTCTTAATTCTCGCTGCTTGACTGGTATGGTCTCACAGGTGTCACCGACTCACATCTTCCTTCAGTGGTTCAGCATGGCCCTGCAGGTTTTGGAAAGCCGCTTTGCACTCCGGAAAGATGCAAATCTTTTCGTGGCTGCTTCTGACGAGAAGATGGATGTTATCTGGCGTTTCCTCTCGATTTTATCATGGATCATATGTATTGTTATGCGGAGATATGACACGGTTCTTCGCGGGTGCTCTCCGATTGCGCTGGAGACACTTATTCCACTGTTGCGCGTCGTCCTCGTGGAGGACGACGCAATGTTGAGGCGAGAGGAGCTCATGGCCTTGTCAAATGGAAATGGCACCACTCATCGACTACAAGGTATGACAAGCGCAGCTGTGCGCAACAATTTACCGCAGCAAAAACGAAAAGAATGTGTTGGGCCTCGAACAGCGTTTGCAGTGGAGCTGTTCACGTGGTTTACTCTAATTCTTGCACTGCTGGACCTGACGAACATTCACCGGCTCTCGGTGGCGCTATTTTTAGCCAATACTATTCATTGGATTCGCCTCGGGCCTGTTTCGGCTAGTTGTTTGGTGGCGCTCTATATAGTCATAACCTACCTCTGGTACCCCGCGTACCCTCTGCGAGATACGTTTCTTACTCTATCAGGACAACGTTCATGGACGCATCACATGTATTCAAGTTACAGTCTGGCGTTTTCGTTGACGTTACTGATGACGGACACACAGTTCCTCCAGCGTGCACGGTACGCAGTTGTCTCAAGGGCCATCATGCTGCCTTCTTCCCTAGAGAAGAATCTCGCCAACACACCGCTGAGTAAAATGTGCGGTGTAGTGCAGAAATTTTCAGATGTGTTCTTTTTTGTGGGATTCAATTTTTGTATGGCCCTGGGCGTGTGGTTCACGGCTATGATGTTCGAGTGGGGACTAGAGGTGCCGTGCACGGGCGTCATATGTGCTTTATTAACTCCTCCAGTCATTTTGGGTGCGGAATGGACGCGGGATTTTAACAGGGCACTATGTGAGGGGATTCTCTGCTTCGTAGCATATCTTGTCATTGGGCTCTCGGTGTTCCTTTTCGTTCCGGCGCACTCGCTGCCTTTCACAGCGAACTGCATGGCATCTGCATTTTTTGTTGTGTACATGGCCGCACATTCACCACGGCGTGTTACGTCAACGCTGCCGCTGACGCTGTTATGGTTGGTGATGGTTGGCATGGACGCGTACTGGCAGATGCAACGTGGCGCAATGGGTGAGCTGCGTTCTGCGTGGCTTACCCAGCTTCTCTGTCTCAACGCCATCACACTTGGGGGCCTCTTTATGTTGTCAACTGCACTCCACGTGTACCGGTGGGAGTGGCCAACAGAGTCACCAGCAACAGCGACGGTGGCAGTGCCGGCTGCCGTGACAAAGTCTATTGCTTCAACAAGGAGCGAACAAAAACAAAAGGAGAAGATCACACCGACCACAGTCTCGCTTAACGTGGAGAGGGCCACCGCGCCTGTAGCAGCCGTAACAGCAACGTCACAACCCTCCGTAGCGAAGAAAATTGATAATGGCAGCGAAGAGAATGCACAAACTGTACTCTCGCCTTCATCGATGTCATCGTCATCTGTATCCCTGCCATCAGTGCCAATGGATGTGAAGACCGCAACATTGGTGGATCCCCCATCGAAGACAAGCAAAACAGCACACATTCATGAGGGTGATAAAGCAGTGGGGGAAGCCGTGCAACAATCGTCTTCGGGCCCGAAGGAGAAGCATATGCGTGCTTCAATTGATGAACACGCGGATGCTGATGTCGTGGTCAATACGGGCAGAAGAGTCTCTTCCTCTGCAGTTTCAGCGAGCCGCAAGAGTGTGCGTGTGTGCACACCCCCGCCCCCTGTCGCTGCTTCATCAAAAACGGAGGAAATGAAGCGTGAGGAGCCAATACACGTGCTGAATGACAAAAAATCGTTGCCGCGGGTTACCGCTTTGGAAGAAGTGCAAGCCACGATCGCTGCAAAGGCGGAAGTGGAGGATGCGGCCACGTCGTCGGTATCGTCCGTGTCAACGCGCAGGGACAGGGAAGAAGAACACACTCAGCCATCCCCTGCCACCGATGAACCGTTCAAGTTGGAACCATCTTCATACTCTCTGGCGCTATCGTCTTCACCACTGCAAACGAGCAGTAGTGTCAGCAGCGTTGAGAGGAGGAGCAGAGCGGTCAAGAAGAAGACGCAGCATCCTACACCTGCAACCGAGGAGGCTATCAAGAAGGGTAGCAAGTCTACCGATCCCACGACGACAACATCGGGCCCAACGACAACGACCCCAACGCCACCAAAGGCAGTGGAGAAGGCTGTGACTATTCCACTCCCAAGAGGTCTGAGGAAGGATTCACTCCCTGCGTCTCGTCCACCTGCTGAAATATCGGCGGTAAAGGCAGCAGCAACACCATCTGTAACAGCCCCAGAGCCAACCAAGACGGTGCCGCCCACAACCTGGCAGACGCGCCGGGCTGCTCCCGAGAGGGTTGGGAATACCTTCAAGGAGAATGTCACCAAGACAGGCAATCGCAGGGTGGTTTTGACTCACGGCGCACAGTCGCCTCCGCCACCGTATTCGGAGGCACAGAAGATGTTGCAGGCAGAATCTTCTACCGAAACAAAGAAGCACACTGTGGAAAGATTTACATCCCACGCAGATGGGACCAATAATCTTAACAACAACAGCAAGCTCCACGCTACGGTGTCACAGCCCAGGATTTTGGAGGGCAGGCGGTTTACTGCGGAGACAACGGCGGTGTCGGCGACGGTGAGCGGCACAGCGGCATCGCGTTCAGAACCTGTGCAGCGTGGTGGTAAACAAAGACAAAGTATCCCTGATGGGCGTGAGAGCGCGACTCTTGAAATCCCACAACCACGCTCCACACGGACTGTCCAGGCGGCGGCGGCGGCGGCGGCGGCGGCGGCTCCGCCTCCGCCTACTGAAACAGTGTTGGATTCGCCAACGCCTGATACACCCCCTGTGCAGCCGAGTCTGCTGGGTATTGGTAGTGATGCTCGTGAGAAGATGCTTGCACTATTGAGTGACAAGTGCTCGGTGGAGATGTCGTCACACGGCGACGATGACGTGCCCCTGGACTTTGCACATCTCCACATTGAATCACCGGCAAGAAGCACACCTAATTCACCGCGCCACCATGTGCCTGTTCCGACGTACGAGGCGTCACGTGGCATGCCGCCATCTGCCCGACACGCCCTGGAGAACTTCGCAAAGGCGTGGATGCCGCATGCAGAGGCGCCGGACACTGACTCAAACGACAGATCTGCACGGGAGACAGAGCAACGTGACGTTGAGCTTAATGTGAATACAGTGCCCATTTCACGCGTGGCTGTGAACCGTGAGTATCCTATGCAGAACCTCTTGGCTCCATCTGCAGTACCGCATGCGCCCACGTTTACTGAACCGCGAAGCAACTTACTGAGACAGAATCCACACCCGATGATTGTAACGGAAGACACGGTCGAGAGAAACAGCTCGAATTCATTCCAGATGACTGCGCCAAATCTTCGGCCACACGTCGCGCCGCTAACGCACGTTGAACCTCACATGGTTACATTGCCGCAATCACAGATTAATCCGCAAATGCCCATGATGCTCGTGCAAATGAGTGATGGACGGATGACCCTTTGTCCCGTTGTTGCCTCTTCCTACACCGCCGCAACGCATGCTGTTCTGACATCGCCACATTTGAAGTCAGCTGTGATACCACAGCCGCCGCCGCCGCAGCAGCAGCAGCAGCAGGCCATGGCTTACCCCCATGTCGCTCTTGCTCAGCAGCAAGTGTATCAGGGGGGGTGGACGCAAATGAGTCCGTACCAGAGTCCGAAGAAGTAGAAGTTTGATTCACTTCTTTTCCTGTTTATTCGTCTGATAAGGCTTAAAAGAAAAAAAAAGGAGGTAAAGTCGAAGATGCAGAATGTGGACGCATGACGTATATTCCGTTTCACTCAACGGATGTTTCGTGTCAACCTTGTCATTGTTCAATTGCTTATATGCGTCCATGTGTATTTGTTTGATGGTGAGTTTGACTTTCTGCAAAAAGGTCTGGTTATGTATTGTTGTTGGTGTGGCCGCCGCCTGAGCCCAGTAGCCTGAAAGGAGCAGGCGGGAAGTGGGGATATCAGACAAAGAGGTGCATGATGTGATCACCGTCTTCCTCGGCTTGCTGAGGCACTGCCGGTGAGCTGGGGGGGCGAAAGGCAACTAAAAAGGAACAAAATGGAGGGAGGAAGCAAAGGGTAGAGGTGCTTGTATATAACCCTCTCTGTTAAAACGGTGCTCGTGGCGGGGAGGAGTGAAGGGAAGAGGTGAAGGGGCGTGGCAGAGAAGGAAGAGGGACAAAAAAAAACGAAACTGAGGTATTTCCTCGTGTGTTCTTTTTTCTTGTTAGTTTTTCATTCCGGCTTAGTGGGAGAACAGGCGCACACTTCGTATTTTTTGTCTCCACATTCCTTCGGCTGTGATTCACCTTGATTTTTTGTTGTTGTTGTTGTTCTTGTTCCTTTTTTTTTTGTGTTTGTCGTCTCTCTGATCTGTGGCGTAACTGTTGGTATAACTGAGTTTATTGGTGTGCTTCCCGGTCAGACTGTTGGTGGTATAATTACGCCTTTGTTGCAGGTGGGGCTCTTGAAATGATTGGCTCTGCAAGCAGGGCCGCTGATGCCATTGCGATGGGTAATGGAATG